TCCCTCCATCTTCCCGATACCTCTAATCCCCAAATTTTAATAACTCTCCTCTCCTATTTTTAATTGAAAATCCATTTTTTCCCTAGGGTTCCTTAATTTATTAATCTCACTCCAAAACTTTTTTATTTTCAACAAAATTTGTTGATAACATCTCCCCCCACTCTCTCATTGCTCTCTTTTTACATTGCTTCATCACTCTCTTAACCCTCTTTTCCTTTCTCCTTGCACATTTACTTCGAAAAAACCTCTCATATGCTAATTTTTCTCTTTACTACTCTCCTACAAAATTTTCCCACCAATGCTCGCCTCCCTCCGCACCCACTTTCCGGGAACCCAAACTTCTGCTCAAAACTAACTTTAAACTTAAATAAAACCCCCTTTCAATCCCATTGCCTAACTCTCACTAGCCCACTGTCATCCAACAGTTGTTTATATTTCCTAACTGCCTCTCTAAATTTTAGCTTATAAACCCTTTATTCTCCTTACCTGCTGTTTTCCCTTTTCCCTTTTATCCCATCTACCTTCACTCTCGCTCTAGCTACAATAAAAGTGACTGAATTTTGTGGCCCCCCTATAAACATGAAGCTTGACATCTACCCAACAGTCTTCTATCTACCCAAATATAGTCCCAAACATTTTATTAAGCCCCACATTATATTTTTTACTTAATTATCCTCTTTTTTCTTAAAAATTTATCACCTGAACCAAAACCCTTGCAAAACAAAGTTCACTCAAAAGCCAAAATCTAAAAAAAATAATGACAATAATAACAGTCCTCTCCCAAGCTTTCAAATGGGTAGGGTCCAAAACCCCTGGGAAAACCACCCTAAAACTAGCAGGCCAGTGCTCCCAACCATGTGCCAACTGGCCTAATAGATTTATCTAACAGATCAGAAAATTGTCCCTAGTTTTTTTTTTACAGGAATTGTTTCTATCATGTTATGTTTTGCAAGTCACTGAGAACATTTTATGCAAGATTATCTACAAAAACCTGATGGACCACGTCACAGTAAGGACCACCAAATTTTTTCCCCAGTGTGTAGAAATATTATTTTTTTTTTTTTTTTATCACACTGGCCATTCCCCCAAGGCAGGGTGGCCCGAAAAAGAAAAACTTTTACCATCATTTACTCCTCATGTTGCCAAAGGGGGCTTTACCTACAGTTTTTAAAAGCAACATTAACACCCCCCCTTTAGAGTGCAGGCACGTACTTTCCCATCTCCAGGCTCAAGTCCGGGCCCGCCGGTTTTTCCCGAATCCCCCTTTTTAAGTTCTTTGCTCACACTCCCAAAAGCACGCAAGTATTAAAAACCATTTGTCCCCCATTACTCCTATCAAACACGCTAGCATGCCTCTGGGGGTCCAACCCTCGCACACAAAAAACCCCCTTACCCCCCCCCTCCAACCCTTCCTAGGCCCACCCCACCCCGCCTTTTCCACTACAGACTGATACAAATCTTGGGAAGTCATTCTGTTTTGCTCCATTCTCTCTTTCATGCCGAACCAACCCCAACAACCCTTCCCCAGCCCTCTGGACAACAGTTTTTGGGAACCCCCACCTCCTCCTAACTTCCAAACTACGAATTCTTGCATTATATCAACCCCCACATTGCCCTCAGACTGACATCTCCACTGCCCCAGCCTTCTCCTCGCTGCAAAAATTTACCCCACGCTTCACACCCTATAAGAGGTTGGTAAAACTATACTCCATACATTCCCCTTTTTTGCCCCCAAAGGGGACAAATTTCCCTTTGTCCCCCACAGACTCCTAAGTCCCACCACCCCATTTTTTTTTTTTCCCTCATCAATTCTATGATTCACCTCATTTTTCATAGACCCACCCGGCGAAAACTCCACGTCCCAAATACTAAAATACTTTTCCCCCCCTCCTCCATACTCCCTCCCCCCCCAATTGATATTCAATTTTTTCATCACCTAATCCTTTTTTTTAATCCTCATAACCTTACTTTTTCCCTTTGTTTTTCCCCTTTTAATTTTTCTTTTTTTTGCACCCCCCCAAAACCCAAATTTTCATTCACCAATCCGCAGCTTTCTCTTCAAAATCTCCCAAGAGCAATGCCCATCAGCAAAGAGAAACTGTGACAACCCCCTTTGGTGTGTTTTCTTTATCTTTTAACTCCACCCTCTTGCCAAGACCCCCCGCTTTTAATTTCCCTTTTACAACCCCTTTCTATAAATATATTAAACAACCACGGTAAACATCACACACCCTTGCCCTAAGGCCTATTTTTAACGGGGAAAAAAATTTCCCTCTTCCACATACCCCTTAATTTAGCCTCACACCCTTTTTTAAAAACTCTTCACGTTTTTCAGAAAACCTACCCCCAAAACCAAAACACCTGCAACATCTCCCCACTTTTTGCCCCCCTATCCACCCTGCCCATACGCCTTTTCCAAATCCATAAATCCCCAAAAAAGACCTTTTTAAACCCCTTATCAAAATACTGTTCATTATAGGTTTCACTGTAAACCCCTTTGGTCCACACCCCCCCCAAACCTTTTCCCTAAAGCCTCCTTGTTCATCTGCTATCCTATTCCCGTCTTACTTTTAAATTTCTTTAAATTATAACTTAAATTTAAAAACTTAAAAAAAATCTAATTAGACCAGCATTGTCAAAGTTATCCCCTTTTGCCAAAACTACCAGGGAAAAAGGAGAGGAGATAAACTTCAGGGTAGGTACAAAGGGTTTTACAAAAGGTACTAGGGTTTAGGGGGTATTAAGATTTTTTTTTTTTTTTTAACAATTTGGGCCGGGGGGCCCCCCCAAACCCAGGGAGGGGGACCCAAAAAAAAAAAGAAAATCCCCAAAAAGAAAAAAACTTTTTATCATCCATTCAACACTTTTACCACACTTTACACATTATCACTGGTTTTTTTCAGAGGTGCTCAGAATACAACATTTGAAGCATATAATATAATGGGTTTCACAAAATATCCCTCCAAACGCCAATTCCCAAACCCCTCCTTTAAAGTGCAGGCATTGTACTTCCCATTTTCCCGGGTTCCCAGTCCAAAACTTTTATAAAATCACCGGTTTTTCCCCGGGAAACCCTTCACTAAATATTACCCCTGCCCCACACTCCAAAAGAAACGCAGGTCCCCAAATACCATTTGTCTCCATTCAAATCCTATAATACGCTCACGCAAAGCTTGCTGGAATTCCAAGCCCCCCGCCCACAAAACCCCCTTTTCCCCCCCCTCTCCAACCCTTTAAAGGGCGACCCCTACCCCCCCCTTTCCCTTTCCCCCATATATTTATATGCTTTCCATGTCATTCTACTTTTAAACCATTCCTCTAAATGACCAAAAACCCCCTCAACAAACCCCCTTCTGCCCCTCCTTTTAAAACTTTTATTAACTCCCCAACCTTTTTTCCCATTTTTTCCCCACTCCGAATTTTTCTGAAAAATATTTTCAAACCCCCACATTTCCCTTAAAAAAGGGCATCTCCACTGCCTCCAACCGTCTCCCCCGCTGCGCATTTTTTCACCCAAGCTTCACAAACCCCTAAAAAGAGTTTTTTTGGGGACTACATAAATTTTATACCAAATTTCCCCTTTTTTGCCTACATAGATAAAAAGTTTTTTTTTACTCTAAAATATACCCAAAAGCACAAAATTTACCTTTTTTTTTCCCCCATCAATTTTTATGTTTTAAACCCCACTTTCCTAAATCCATCCGCCGACACGTCAAATCCCCAATAAAAGTGGACCCCCGGTAATTTTGATGGCATGGGGGGGGGGGGGGGGGGGGTTTATAAATCCCGGGATTCGAAAGCATTATATCGCAAAAAAATTTTTCCCGGGAATTTGAACCCATTCGTACCAGAAACCCTTTCCCCGTGTGGCCTTTAAATGCCCCCCTTTTGTGCCAGTGTTTACAAGCCGCCAGTGGGGCACGCATCTAAGGATACATTCGGTAAAAAATTCCCTATTACACTGTGTTTGGGGGCTTGTTTCTGCCCAAAAAAAGTCACCAAAGGGGGCCCCCAAAAAAGCTTCTAGTGCCAACCCTGTGGTAAAAAAAAGGGGGAGAATTAGTAATTTAAATTAAGAAAAATTTTGAAGGGTTTGGGGCTTTAAACCCCGAGAACCTATACCATTTTTGGGAAAACATTTGTCCTACCTTTAAAAAATTAAAAAGGGAAATGTGTGCACAGGGGTTAAAATGGGAAACCCTTTATGGATGAAAATCACCCTAACACAGCTATTACAATGACAATGTTGTGGCCCATTTTAGACAAATCGTAAAGGAACGGGAGTACAGGCCTCTATGGAACAGATTTGTTGTGCGACAGAGGTCCAGTGACTCTCAAGCTGGTCCTAGTGGCATTAAAAGAAGAAGGGAAGTAACACCGGAAAAGGACTTGCTACCTCAAGTCCTAATGGAAGGGGATTCCCCTTCTAAACACTAACACCTCTCCCCTCCTCCCATCCCATCAATCATCACCAGATCTTCATTAAAGGTAAGTGTCAATTATTTTATTGTTATTGTAATTATTCTATTGCATTAAACTTAATATTTCATGTAGTAAAATTTTTTTTTTCATACTTTTGGGAGTCTTGCATGGATTAATTTGATTTTCATTATTTCTTATGAGGATAATTGATTCGGTTTTCGATATTATCGGTATTCGATGAGCTCTCAGGAACGGATTAATATCGAATACCGGGGGTCCACTGTATCTGAAAACATTCACTTCTTCCATACTCCTCCCCAATTTGATATCCAATTTTTCTTTATCTAAATCATTTGATACCCTCATCACCTTACTCTTTTCTATGTTCACTTTCAAAAAAAAAATTTACCTAATTTAGGCTTAAATTTCAGCCAAATTAAATTTTTATTAGTGTAAAATATTTAACTTTCAACCCAATTAGGATTTCATTAATGTAATATAAAAGCTTCCACATGATCAGGACAACAGTGATTCACAAATGTCTGGACAAACAATACAGAAAAATACATATAGTTTACCTGATACCAATGAGTGAGAGGTTCTGTGGGAGCCGTTGAAAGCCAGACTGTCTGCGTTGAACCCAGGAAAGCAACATCAAACCAGAATGCCAGGCCGTGCATTGTACATGACTTCAAGATGTGGAACTCCAGCGGGATAACTGGTGGGAGGAAAAGATGAAAGTGTTTCCTCCTCCTAAATACAACATTAAACAAGTGGCTACTCATCTAAGTAAACTAATCTCAATATATTTTAAAGAAATAACACAACAAAAAGAAAAGTACATTATCCATGTCAATCTGGAAGATGATACCAGTCACCCCAGTTTTTTTTCAGTTTCTTATTACACATTTTGAGTTCTGCAATTTTTATGGGATGTTAATTCAGTTGTAGCCCATAAGGAAAAAAATTAGAAAGATGTTTGATAACAGATAATACGTATTTAATTTTTTTTAACACGTCGGCCACTTCCCAACGAGGCAGAGTGACCCAAAAAGAAAGAAAAAAATTTCATCATCATTCCTACATAATCACTGTCTTTGCAGAGGTGCTCAGATACGACAGTTTTGAAGTCCCTCCAAACTGTCAATATCGCCCCCTTTAAAGTGCAGGCATTGTACTTCCCATTTCCAGCACTCAAGACCAGCTAACCGGTTTCCCTGAATCCCTTCACTAAATATTACCCTGCTCACACTCCAACAGCTCGTCAGGTCCCAAAAACCATTCGTCTCCATTCACTCCTATCTAACATGTTCACGCATGCTTGCTGGAAGTCCAAGACCCTCGCCCACAAAACCTCCTTCACCCCCTCCCTGCAACCTTTTTGAGGACAACCCCTACCCGCCTTCCTTCCCCTACAGATTTATACGCTCTCCAAGTCATTCTACTTTGATCCATTCTCTCTAAATGACCAAACCATCTCAACAACCCCTCCAACTAATACTTTCATTAACTCCACACCTCCTAATTTCCACACTCCGAATTCTCTGCATAATATTTACACCATACACTGCCCTTAGACAGGACATCTCCACTGCCTCCGACAGCCTACTTGCTGCAGCATTTACAACCCAAACTTCACAACCATACAAGAGTGTTGGTACCACTATACTTTGTACATTTCCTTCTTTGCCTCCATGGTTAATGTTTTTTGTCTCCACATATACCTTGATGCACCACTCACCTTTTTTCCTTCATCAATTCTATGGTTAACCTCACCATTCATAAACCCATTAACTGACAAGTCAACTCCCAAATATCTGAAAACATTCGCTTCTTCCATACTCCCTCTCTCCAATGTGATATCCAATTTTTCTTTATCTAAATCATTTGATGCCCTCATCACCTTACTCTTATCTACGTTCACTTTCAACTTTCTACCTTTACACACCCTCCAAAACTCATCCACTAACCTTTGCAACTTTTCTTTAGAATCTCCCATAAGCACAGTATCATCAGCAAAAAGTAACTGTGTCACTTCCGATTTTGTATTTAATTCCCCATAATTTAATCCCACCTCTCTCCCGAACACCCTAGCATTTACTACCTTTACAACCCCATCTATAAATATATTAAACAACCATGGTGACATTACACATCCCTGTCTAAGACCTACTTTTACCGGGAAGTAGTCTCCCTCTCTTCTACACACACTAACCTGAGCCTCACTATCCTCATAAAAACTCTTTACAACATTTAGTAACTTACCACCTATTCCATATACTTGCAACATCTGCCACATTGCTCCCATATCCACTCTATTTGCTACATGTAAAAAGAATTTTTTTTTCTTTGTGTGAATAGCAATTTAGGGTGACCTGAAAAGAAAATATTTCGTTTTTTTCTTTTTAGGTCACCCTACCTCAGTTGGAGACAGCCAGTATATTAAAAAAAATTATTCTTAAGATTATTATTATTTAGTGTAGCTATAGTACAAGTAAGAGGAAGATGGGACACAAGGAGAATATCATTAAAAGATGGAAGTGAAAGTTTATAAATTAATGGAGATTGTTAAGGCAAAATGTAAATAACTACTGTGAGGAAGGGTGAGAGTGAGTACAGGAGGTGGTAGTACTACTACCACCTCCTGCCTATATATACCCAACCTGCTCTCCTTTTCGTTAGTGTGACTTTGTAAATGGTCCAAGTCAGGCTGAAACGTCGTCGTAAGGTCCTCTCTTCTACGTGCAGGTTATTTGTGTATCATTCCAGTCATGGTATTGTGCCTTTTTTTTTTTGTTAAGTTGAGAATCTCTATGGAACAAATGGATTTAACAGTTAAGAACAAGAGTGAAGTTATTAGGTGGGGAGGGAGAGGTACTGGGAAGAGGGAGAGAATACTGCAAGCAGCAGTTGAATGTCAATGAAGAATGGGAAGCAGTGATTTCATGCATAAAACAGAATAGTATAACAGCTTTTAGGAGAGAGGAACAGGCAGATGTAAGTGTGAGTGAAGTGTGTGTAGGTAGAGTATAAGGAAGTAAAATAGCTGAGCTAGGTGGGAGCAAGACAGAAACATTAACAGCTAGTGAGGATATGTTTTGGAGTAGCTGGCATATTTGTTTAATAAATGTGTAAAAGGAAGGAGGGAAGAGGGGGAAGAGGGGGCAGGAGGCACCTAGGGACTGGCAGAGATCATGTAGAGTTCTTTTGCATACAGAAAAAGGGAATCAGAGAGAATGCAAGACTTACAGAGGGAAAGATTTATGGCAGAGTTATTACTGAAAGAATTAAGAGTAAAACAGAGCAGAACGGCAGATGAACTAGGTGGGTTTAAGAAGGGTAGGGGATGTGTAGCATGTAAGTGCATATTACTTAGATAAAGGTAAGGAAGTTTTCATTTTATTTATGGATTTAGAAAAGACTTATGATAGGGTGGATAGAGGAGTAATGTTGCAAATGTTCAAGTGTGTGGAATAGGTGGTAGGTTATTTAAAGCAGTTAAGTTATTATGTTATAGGTAGTAGGTTGGTAGACAGCAACCGCCCAGGGAGGTACTACCGTCCTGCCAAGTGAGTGTAAAACGAAAGCCTGTAATCGTTTTACATGATGGTAGGATTGCTGGTGTCCTTTTTTTCTGTCTCATAAACATGCAAGATTTCAGGTACGTCTTGCTACTTCTACTTACACTTAGGTCACACTACACATACAAGTACAAGCATATATATACACGCCCCTTTGAGTTTCCTTCTATTTTCTTTCTAGTTCTTGTTCTTGTTTATTTCCTCTTATCTCCATGGGGAAGTGGAACAGAATTCTTCCTCTGTAAGCCATGCGTGTCGTAAGAGGCGACTGAAATGCCGGGAGCAAGGGGCTGGTAACCCCTTCTCCTGTATATATTACTGAACTTGAAAGGAGAAACTTTCGTTTTTCCTTTTGGGTCACCCCACCTCGGTGGGATATGGCCGGTGTGTTGAAAGAAAGTTATTATGTGGATAGCAAGGTTTAGGTAAGGGTATGTAGGTGAGGGTTATTTTCCAATAAATTTAGGCCTAAGGGATGTGTAATATCACCAGTCATTTAATATACTTATAGAAGGGATTGAGAGAGAAGTGAATGATGGGGTATTGGGAGATATGTGGTATTAAAACAATGAATCTGATACAAAGTGGGTTATCAGTTGCTTTTTGCCAATGACACCTTCAATATGTCTAACGAGTTCCAAGAGTTTTTCTACTGGCCCGGCCCTGGGCCAGGCCAGTAAAAAGGGCAGAGTCAATGAAATAGGAAGGGTAGCCAAGACGGGAAAACGAATTATGAAGCGTGGAGATTTATGCTGGAAGGAACTTAGGATCACAGATGCAGAGGGCACGGAGAAAGAGGGAGATAAGAACACTTTTCTTGACAGGGGAAGCATGATAGGAAAAGCAGTGAATGTACATGCCACTGTGCATAGGTTTGCGGTAAACGGAAAAGGAAAAGCCTGTATCTGAGCGGTGGACATGGACTTCAAGGAAAGGAAGCAAGGAATTAGATTCCCATTCAGCTTTAAACTTAATGGAAGGGTCAACATTATTAAGGGCTTCAAGAAAAGGTAGGAAGAGACTAGAGTCATGAGGCCACAGAGCAAAGCTGTCATTTACATCTAAAAATAGTGTTAGGCTTGCCGACACTAACAATGCTCTTTTCTGTCACGTCAGAGATCACAGCCATCCTATTGATTGGTCTTCTGCTAAAACTGTCTTCCCTACTTTCAACTTTAATAGTCGCCATCTGGTCGAATCCTCCCTAATACACAACTTTCCTTGTATGAATCTTAGTCCTGGCTTTGTCTCTGTATATGCCTTCCTCTCCCACTACATTGTGAAATGCTCCAAACTTCAGAACACCCATGACTTAACCTGATTCCTCCTTTTTCTTCTTCTCCCTTGTTACACCCTTTTGTTCATTTTCTTCTTGTTATTATCACAATGATATACTTTTACATGTTATTTTTGCTATTTCACTTAATATTATATTCAGGAGTAATTCCATTAGTAGCTAAAATGGATTTACTCGACTTTATAATATTACCTGGTCGTATTACTTAGCTTTGTATTTAGGTAGGTCATTTAATTAGTGTCAACTGCTGGTGACCTGGCCAAGCACCAGTAGGTGTTTTGAGCTGCTCAACCCCTGTTCCGACCGAGACAAAGTGGGCTGATAAAGCCTCACAGAGTTCAGTTCATACCTTCCTCTGGACCAGGAAGGGTTGAGGGAAGTATCCACCTCTAAACCACCATTTGCCTCCCTAGAAAATCCCAGGAATTTTCGGGAACTTACTGCTAAGACTTATCTCGGTTGGAGAAGGCGGTTGAGAAGCTCTTAGAGAAAGTGAAGCCAAGTGAGCAAGCCTCTGTAGTGTATGAGGACTTATTGTAAAGTGAACCCTATCATAAGAAATCTATTGTGTTCGAGTTTTTAGGCAACGCCTGTGCATGTGCATATACTAATGTTTCGTGACTCACTCAGAGCCATTTGTAAATACTTGACCTAGTACTGTGTTGTTTTAACCCTTTGACTGTCGCAGCCGTATATATACGTCTTATGAGGTACCGTGTTTGACGTATATATACTCATAAATTCTCTCGGCTTCAAATCAAGAAACAGAAAGCTGGTAGGCCCACATGTGAGAGAATGGGTCTGTGTGGTCAGTGTGCACCATATAAAAAAAATCCTGCAGCACACAGTGCATAATGAGAAAAAAAAAAAAAACTCCGACCGTTTTTTTTTAATTAAAATGCCGACTTTGTGGTCTATTTTCGTATAGTATTTATGGTTGTATTCTCGTTTTCTTGGTCTCATTTGATAGAATGGAAAACATATTATAGAAATAGAGGTGATTTTGATTGATTTTACTATAAAAAGAACCTGGAAATGGAGCTCAAAGTAGGGGAAATGTTTGATTTTTGCCGATGTTCAAAAATAAACAAATGACATCATTGTCCAATAAATGTCCAACTAGCCATTCTAATATGCAATCATGAATGGGTTGATGTTATTTATACAATTATTACAATATTGCAGTAGTCTGCATAATAGTAAATCTTCTATTTTTTGTTTGAATAAAAATTCAAAATAGTAAGCAAGACTAATATCAGAGGGGCCTGGAGATGTGACTGATGAACAAAGAAAATGTTATTTTAGAGCCAGGAATGTCTGTATTGTACATTCTGGACCTTATTTTGAAATTGTCATATTCTTTAATTTTCATGAAATTGGCCAAATTGCAAATTTCTGACCATGTTATTGGGTAGTTGAAATTGGTAAATGGGCAGTTTCTTGTACTCAATCGATAGATAAAATGGAGGTCTAAAGAAATAGCTATGAGTTTAGTCGACTGGAACAATGGAATTAGGCGAAAATAGGGCTCAAAGTGGGCGAAATCGCTGATTTGTAAATATCACCAAGGTCGCTAACTTCGCGAGAGTGTAATTCTGTCAGTTTTCCATCAAATTTCGTTTTTTTGGTATCATTACAATCGGGAAAAGATTCTCTATCATTTCATAAGAAAAAATAATTTTTTTTTTTTTTGAAATTTTGCGACACCAGGAGACTCCTCAGGATTGGGGGTTGCGACAGTCAAGGGGTTAATGAGGAATGGTAAAAGTATTCTACTCATAGTGCAAAATATGAGAAGGTGAATTTAAGTGATTATTATGATTATTAATAAATTAAATAGAAACTAAAAAAAATCCTTTTCCTCTGAAGTGAGTACCTAGACGTACTAAGTTTATTTTGTTACGAAAAGCACGATAACCCAGGGACCAACTGACTATGTTCGTAACACCCTCTTCCCCTTTCCTCTTCTGGGTTGTCTTTCTTTCTTCTGCCTTTTATTTCTGTTCCTTCATTATTTCCCCCCCCCACCTCTGTGTTCTTGCTCTCCCTCTGTGAGCACCTAGCTTCCTTGCAGTGCTCCCCTTTCTTTGTATCTGACGGGCTCCTCCTCCTTACTTCCCCACCACTACTTCCTTCCACCTCTGCCACTACTACTACTACTACTACTACTACCACCACCACCACCACCACTTCCTGCCTATATATACCCGTCCTGCTGTACTTCTTGTTAGAGTGACTTTGTAAATGGTCCAAGTCGGGCCGAAACGTCGTCGTATGCTCCTCTCTTCTATGTGCGGGTTATTTGTGCATTGTTCCAGTCACGGTATTGTGCCTTTTTTTGTTATTTACTGAGTCTACATGTTGCCAACCCTTGGTGGAAGCAACATTCCAAGAAGAAACATGGCATTGGTGAAATAAGATGGATATGAACTAGAGATATGAATGAAAGGAAAGTTGCTAGAAAGCAGAAAGGAAAATAACAAACAATAACCAGTGAATCAAAGCCTCTGCGCACACACGTACTGGAAAGTGGTATAGCGCAACCATAACAAACCGCAATCAATTATATTTTTTTACCTAGATGATGTAGATCTTTTTCCTGTGCATTCATAAAATCCAGAGAATATCTAATTGATTTGGCTAAGCAGATTCCAATGTCAAAAGTGTCCACAATTGGCTGGCGGAGGTACTCGTTGAGCGCCTGCTCCCTAAGTTGGCAAAGGTCTACACCATGGAAGCAATTCTGGTACCTGGGTGGAAAATAATACTTGTTAAATAACAATAACAGCAATTTTCATTCTCAAAATATAACACTGAAACACAGAAATAGTAATATACAATCCTAAGGATTTTTAGCAATATCAAACAATGAAAAAAGTTTTAAAAGCATTTATTAGATTGTCAAAGGAAGGTTTTCCTTAACCTTTCATGCGTTGTCTCACAGGGGAGCTTTAATTTGTAAGGTAAAAGGACACAAGTGCAACTGTGATATTTATTGTGGCAATGTTTTGCTCTCCAGGAGTTTTGTCAAACATGGAGACCAAAACACTGTCACAATATAATTCCACATTAGCTGCACTTGTGTCCTTTTACCTAACAAGCTGTCGGTAATTCAACCAACATTATTATAGCTTTCACATGAGCTTATATACTTGGCTATGTGAAGTGTCTCACAGAGTTCAATCATTTATATTTAAGCAATGTAATACAGCAAAATCTCATGTTACAAACACCTGGAAGTTACGTAAATTCATTTTTTTTTTTTCAACAAGTCAGCCGTCTCCCACCGAGGCAGGGTGACCCAAAAAAGAAAGAAAATCCCCAAAAAGAAAATACTTTCATCATCATTCAACACTTTCACCACACTCACACATTATCACTGTTTTTGCAGAGGTGCTCAGAATACAACAGTTAAGAAGCATATACATATAAAGATAAATTAGACACATGTGCAACTCTTGGGTATCTTTATCAATAAAGTATCAATAAAGATACCCAAGAGTTGCACATGTGTCTAATTTATCAACATGTCGGTTTTCTGAACCATTCATCTACAAACATATAAAGATACACAACATATCCCTCCAAACTGCCAATATCCCGAACCCCTCCTTTAAAGTGCAGGCATTGTACTTCCCATTTCCAGGACTCGAGTCCGACTATATGAAAATAACCGGTTTCCCGGAATCCCTTCACTAAATATTACCCTGCTCACACTCCAACAGATCGTCAGGTCCCAAGTACCATTCGTCTCCATTCACTCCTATCTAACACGCTCACGCACGCTTGCTGGAAGTCCAAGCCCCTCGCCCACAAAACCTCCTTTACCCCCCTCTCTCCAACCCTTTCGAGGACGACCCCTACCCCGCCTTCCTTCCCCTATAGATTTATATGCTTTCCATGTCATTCTACTTTGATCCATTCTCTCTAAATGACCAAACCACCTCAACAACCCCTCTTCTGCCCTCTGACTAATACTTTTATTAACTCCACACCTTTTCCTAATTTCCACACTCCGAATTATCTGCATAATATTTACACCACACATTGCCCTTAACCCTTTGACTATTTTGGTCGTATATATACGTCTTACGAGCCAGTGTTTCAGACATATATATACTCAATAATTCTAGCAGCTTCAAATCAAGCGGAAGAAAGCTGGTAGGCCCACATGTGAGAGAATGGGTCTGTGTGGTCAGTGTGCACCACATAAAAAAAATCCTGCAGGACACAGTGCGTAATGAGAAAAAAATAACTCGGATCGTTTTTTTAGATTAAAACGCCGACTTTGAGGTGTATTTTCGTATAGTATTTATCGATGCATTTGCATTTTCATGGTCTTAGGTGATAAAATGGAAAACATATTACAGAAACAGAGATGATTTTGATTACTTTGACGATGAAAACAACTTTGAAACTGAGCTCAAAGTAGCGGAAATGTTAGATTTTTACCAACGTTCAGGAGTAAACAAATCACACCACTCGTCCAATACATGTCAACTGGGGAGTCTAATATTCTTTCACTAGTGCACTGATATTAGTTATACCATTTTTACAATAATGCAGTAGTCTGCATAACAGTAAATTTTGTATTTTTTTGTATGAATAAAAAATCAAAATAGAAAGCAATAATAATATAAGAGGGGCCTAGAGATGTAACTAATGAACAGAGGATATGTTATTTTAGTGCCAAGAATGTCTACCTTGTTTATTCTGGACCCTATTTTGAAATTGGCATCTTTTTTAGTTTGCGTGAAATTGGCCAAATTGCCAATTTCTGACCACAATACTGGGTAGTCCAAATTGGTAAATGGGAGGTTTCTTGTACTCAGCTGATAGATAAAATGGAGTTCTAAAGAAATAGCTATGAGTTTGGTCAACTGGAACAATGGAATTGGATGAAAATAGGGCACAAAGTCGGCGAAATCGCCGATACGCATATGTCGCCGAGACCGCTAACTTCGCGGGAGCGTGATTCCATGAATTTTCAACCAAATTTCGAACTTTTGGTGTCATTACCATCAGGAAAAGATTCTCCATCATTTCAAAAGAATTTTTTTTTTTTCAAAAATTTATCGACATAGAATGACAGTTTCAGAGAGGGGCCTGAAACAGTCAAAAGGTTAAACAGCACATCTCCACTGCCTCCAACAGTCTCCTCGCTGCTGCATTTACCACCCAAGCTTCACATCCATATAAGAGTGTTGGTACTACTATACTTTCATACATTCCCTTCTTTGCCTCCATAGATAACGTTTTTTGATTCCACATATACCTCAACGCATCACTCACCTTTTTTCCCTCATCAATTCTACTGTTAATTTATTTTTTTTTTATTATCACACTGGCCGATTCCCACCACGGCAGGGTGGTCCACCAAGGCAGGGTGGTCCACCAAGGCAGGGTAGTCCACCAAGGCAGGGTGGCCCACCAAGGCCTTGTGGTCCACCAAGGCAGGGTGGCCCACCAAGGCAGGGTGGCCCAACAAGGCAGGGTGGCCCACCAAGGCAGGGTGGCCCAACAAGGCAGGGTGGTCCAACAAGGCAGGGTGGCCCACCAAGGCAGGGTGGTCCACCAAGGCAGGGTGGTCCACCAAGGCAGGGTGGTCCACCAAGGCAGGGTGGTCCACCAAGGCAGGGTGGTCCACCAAGGCAGGATAGTCCACCAAGGAAGGGTGGCCCACCAAGGCAGGGTGGTCCACCAAGGCAGGGTGGCCCACCAAGGCAGGGTGGCCCACCAAGGCAGGGTGGTCCACCAAGGCAGGGTGGTCCACCAAGGCAGGGTGGTCCACCAAGGCAGGGTGGTCCACCAAGGCAGGGTGGCCCACCAAGGCAGGGTGGTCCACCAAGGCAGGGTGGCCCACCAAGGCAGGGTGGCCCACCAATGCAGGGTGGCCCACCAATGCAGGGTGGCCCACCAAGGCAGGGTGGTCCACCAAGGCAGGGTGGTCCACCAAGGCAGGGTGGTCCACCAAGGCAGGGTGGCCCACCAAGGCAGGGTGGTCCACCAAGGCAGGGTGGCCCACCAAGGCAGGGTGGTCCACCAAGGCAGGGTGGCCCACCAAGGCAGGGTGGTCCACCAAGGCAGGGTGGCCCACCAAGGCAGGGTGGCCCACCAAGGCAGGGTGGCCCACCAAGGCAGGGTGGCCCACCAAGGCAGGGTGGTCCACCAATGCAGAGTGGTCCACCAAGGCAGGGTGGTCCACCAAGGCAGGGTGGCCCAACAAGGCAGGGTGGTCCAAGGCAGGGTGGTCCACCAAGGCAGGGTGGCCCACCAAGGCAGGGTGGCCCACCAAGGCAGGGTGGCCCACCAAGACAGGGTGGCCCGAAAAAGAAAAACTTTCACCATCATTCACTCCATCACTGTCTTGCCAGAAGGGTGCTTTACACTACAGTTTTTAAACTGCAACATTAACACCCCTCCTTCAGAGTGCAGACACTGTACTTCCCATATCCAGGACTTAAGTCCGGCCTGCCGGTTTCCCTGAACCCCTTCATAAGTGTTACTTTGCTCACACTCCAACAGCACGTCAAGTATTAAAAACCATTTGTCTCCCTTCACTCCTATCAAACACGCTCACGCATGCCTGCTGGAAGTCCAAGCCCATTGCACACAAAACCTCCTTTACCCCCTCCCTCCAACCTTTCCTAGGCCGACCCCTACCTCGCCTTCCTTCCACTACAGACTGATACACTCTCGAAGTCATTCTGTTTCGCTCCATTCTCTCTACATGTCTGAACCACCTCAACAACCCTTCCTCAGCCCTCTGGACAACAGTTTTGGTAATCCCGCACCTCCTCCTAACTTCCAAACTACGAATTCTCTGCATTATATTCACACCACACACTGCCCTCAGACATGACATCTCCACTGCCTCCAGCCTTCTCCACACTGCAATATTCATCACCCATGCTTCACACCCATACAAGAGTGTTGGTAAAACTATACTCTCATACATTCCCCTCTTTGCCTCCAAGGACAAAGTTCTTTGTCTCCACAGACTCCTAAGTGCACCACTCACTCTTTTCCCCTCATCAATTCTATGATTCACCTCATCTTTCATAGACCCATCCGCTGACATGTCCACTTCCAAATATCTGAATACATTCACCTCCTCCATACTCTCTCTCTCCAATCTTTCATCACCTAATCTTTTTGTTATCCTCATAACCTTACTCTTTCCTGTATTCACTTTTAATTTCCTTCTTTTGCATACCCTACCAAATTCATCCACCAACCTCTGCAACTTCTCTTCAGAATCTCCCAAGAGCACAGTGTCATCAGCAAAGAGCAACTGTGACAACTCCCACTTCATGCGTGATTCTTTATCTTTTAACTCCACGCCTCTTGCCAAGACCCTTGCATTTACTTCTCTTACAACCCCATCTATAAATATATTAAACAACCACGGTGACATCACACATCCTTGTCAAAGGCCTACTTTTACTGGGAAATAATTTCCCTCTTTCCTACATACTCTAACTTGAGCCTCACTATCCTCGTAAAAACTCTTCACTGCTTTCAGTAACCTACCTCCTACACCATACACCTGCAACATCTGCCACATTGCCCCCCTATCCAATGCCTTTTCCAAATCCATAAATGCCACAAAGACATCTTTAGCCTTATCTAAATACTGTTCACTTTTATGTTTCACTGTAAACACCTGGTCCACACACCCCCTATCTTTCCTAAAGCTTCCTTGTTCATCTGCTATCCTATTCTCAGTCTTACTCTTAATTCTTTCAATAATAACTCTACCATACACTTTACCAGGTATACTCAACAGACTTATCCCCCTATAATTTTTGCACTCTCTCTTTTGTCCCCATTGCCTTTATACAAAGGAACTATGCATGCTCTCTGCCAATCCCTAGGTACCTTACCCTCTTCCATACATTTATTAAATAATTGCACCAACCACTCCGAAACTATATCCCCACCTGCTTTTAACATTTCTATCTTTATCCCATCAATCCCGGCTGCCTTACCCCCTTTCATTTTACCTACTGCCTCACGAACTTCCCCCACACTCACGACTGGCTCTTCCTCACTCCTACAAGATGTTTTTCCTCCTTGCCCTATACATGAAATCACAGCTTCCCTATCTTCATCAACATTTAACAATTCCTCAAAATATTCCCTCCATCTTCCCAATACCTCTAACTCTCCATTTAATAACTCTCCTCTCTTATTTTTAACTGACAAATCCATTTGTTCTCTAGGCTTCCTTGACTTGTTAATCTCATTCCAAAACTTTTTCTTATTTTCAACAAAGTTTGTTGATAACATCTCACCCACTCTCTCATTTGCTCTCTTGTTACATTGCTTCACCACTCTCTTAACCTCTCTCTTTTTCTCCATATACTCTTCCCTCCTTGCATCACTTCTACTTTGTAAAAACTTCTCATATGCTAACTTTTTCTCCCTTACTACTCTCTTTACATCATTCCACCAATCGCTCCTCTTCCCTCCCGCACCCACTTTCCTGTAACCACAAACTTCTGCTGAACACTCTAACACTACATTTTTAAACCTACCCCATACCTCTTCGATCCCATTGCCTATGCTCTCATTAGCCCATCTATCCTCCAATAGCTGCTTATATCTTACCCTAACTGCCTCCTCTTTTAGTTTATAAACCTTCACCTCTCTCTTCCCTGTTGCTTCTATTCTCCTTGTATCCCATCTACCATTTACTCTCAGTGTAGCTACAACTAGAAAGTGATCTGATATATCTGTGGCCCCTGTATAAACATGTACATCCTGAAGTCTACTCAACAGTCTTTTATCTACCAATACATAATCCAACAAACTACTGTCATTTCGCCCTACATCATATCTTGTATACTTATTTATCCTCTTTTTCTTAAAGTATGTATTACCTATAACTAAACCCCTTTCTATACAAAGTTCAATCAAAGGGCTCCCATTATCATTTACACCTGGCACCCCAAACTTACCTACCACACCCTCTCTAAAAGTTTCTCCTACTTTAGCATTCAGGTCCCCTACCACAATTACTCTCTCACTTGGTTCAAAGGTTCTTATACATTCACTTAACATAGCAATTTTTTTTTTTCTTTTAAAACATTCAGAAAAATATTATGAAGATTTTGGTGAGAAATTTTTTTCCGAATATTTTTCGACATTGAGAGCGAGTTTAAGATCACAGGTCTCGACAGTGAAAGGGTTAATGAAGCATACACACAACAGACAGGAGTGAAGGACTAGTAACCCCTTCTCTTGTATACATTACTAAATTTAAAAAGAGAAACTTTTGTTTTTCTTTTTAGGTCATCCTGCCTTGGTGGGATACAACCAGTTCATAAAAAAAAAAAAATACATTAAGTGAATTTTTACCAGAAATTTGCCTTGTTGAGCTGCTCATAATAAAGGGATTCATCATTGAAGGGAGCCACATGAAGGTCCCCCCGGGAAGGGAACATGCGGCCAGATGGTTTAAGCCACTTCTTGGCGTGTAGATACGTTTCCAGCATACGCTCGTTGTACAACATGTAACCCATTGGCTCGGATATAATCATATCAACCATATCTGGCAAGTCGATTTCTTCTATCTTGCCAGCTATCACTTTGATGGTTTCCTGAAGATTGTTTGCTCTCACTAACATCTGTAAAGTAGATTTTTAATGTGTGAATAAGATCTGTTCAGTAACTATAATTTCTTTGATGTGCGCAGTAACTATAATTTTTGTCATATGTGAAAAAATATTTTTAGTGACAATATTGAAACCCATTTACAAAAATTCTACTGAATGTTATGTGTAACAGATGAAGATTTATGAAGCTCAGTATACAGGAATCTCCTACTTTAATAGGCTAATAGAATGGAGCAGACGGCATATAACTGTGAAGAATAGACAAGATTGTTTAGCCTTGATTTTAACCCTTAAACTGTCCAAACATAGATCTACATTCACGTGTGTAGCGCTCTGCACACAGATCAACATATTTTTTACATGCTTTCAAATGCAAAAAAAAAAAAAAAGTAGATCTACGTTCGGAGCGCTACGCACACGAACACACAGCTACGTTTGGACAGTTTAAGGGCTAATAATGACAGACAATTCTGTAGTCAGCAGATTTTGTTTCCAAATCAACTGACCCAGCATATTTAGTTTTGTATTTCCAAAGTCTTATTAATAATGACCATATGACCTGTCTTTGTAATACTCATTTGTGCTAAATTGTTATTTGTTTACAATAATGTTTGTACCACTGAATATATCATTGCTTAGTTAATCTTAAGTTAATTTTAAGCCTGCCCATAATGCTCTGCATACAAGGGGCTTTGGCATGTTGCACTGTAATAACTGTATTCCTTTGTACTTCACTGTATCATGTTCAAATTAATAAATAAATAAATCAGGGATTTACTGTATTACAAGTGTGATGACAAAAAAAATCATACACCAAATACAAAAACTGCATTACACCTTGTACAGTGACTATACCTCACAATGCTGTTAAATACAAAAATTGTATTACAGTTTGCATATACAATGACTATACCTCACAATGCTGTGCCATGGATGATGCTTCAACAGCATACACTTTGCGAGCCCCAGCCTGGGCAGCGAAGAACGAAAGAATCCCTGAACCGGCACCAACATCCAAAATTATTTTGTCCCTGAAGTCACTCATGTTGGAGAGAATTGCACGCTGATATGTTCCAGTCCGGATGTAATCCTGCCAATGAAGCCAAAAAATTTTACCTTTGATAATAAATTATTGTAAATACAGGCGCTCCTTGACTTATGACAGAGTTACGTTCTTATGAACCCATTGCAAGTTGAAAATATTGCAAGCCAAATATGTAAATAAATAAATTATGGGGAGTCATACAAAATGGGAGTTGACGCAGTGCCTTTTTTACTGATGATACTGTGCTTTTGGGAAATTCTGAAGAGAAGTTGCAAAGGTTAGCAGATAATTTTGGGAGGATGTGTAAAGAAAGAATGTTGAAAGTGAACATAGACAAGAGTGAGGTGATGAGGGTATCACACAAGTTAGGTCAAGAAAAATTGGGTAGCAGATTGGAGGGAGGGCGTATGGAAGAAGTCAATGTATTCAGATATTTGGGAGTAGATTTGTCAGCAGATGGGTTTATGAAGGACAAGGTAAACCACAGAACTAAAGGAAAAAAGGTGTGTGGTGCACTGAGGTATATATAAGAGACAAAGAACATTAACCATGGAGGAAAAGAAGGGAATGTATTAGAGTATAGTAGTACCAACACTCTTATATGGGTGTGAAGCTTGGGCTGCAAATGCTACAGCAAGGAGGAGGCTGGAGGCAGTGGAGATGTCCTGTCTAAGGGCAATGTATGGCGTAAATATTATACAGAGAATTCGTTATGTGGAAATTAGGAAGAGATGTGGAGTTACTAAAAGTATTATTCAGAGGGGTGAAGATGGGTTATTGAGGTGGTTTGGTCATTTAGAGCGGACAAAGCAAAATGGAATATAAATCTGTAGTGGAGGGAAGGAGAGGTAGAGGTCATCCTTGGAAAGGCTGGAGGGGGTAAAAGAGGTTTTGTGTGCAAGGAGCATGGACATTAAGCAGGCATGTGTGAATGTGTTAGATTGGAGTGGAGACGAATGGGTTTTAGGACCTGATGAGCTGTGGGAGAGTGATTATTATTTTTTTTAATCAACACATCGGCCGTTTCCCACCAAGGCAGGGTGGCCCAAAAAAGAAAAACTTTCACCATCATTCACTCCATCACTGTCTTGCCAGAGGTGCACTCACATTACAGTTATAAAACTGCAACATTAACACCCTTCCTTCAGATTGCAGACACTGTACTTCCCATCTCCAGGACTCAAGTCCGGCCTGCCAATTTCCCTGAATCTCTTCATAAATATTACCCTGCTCACACTCCAATAGCACATCAAGTCCTATAAATCATTTGTCTCCGTTCGCTCTGATCTAACAAGCTCACACATGCTTGCTTGAAGTCCAAGCCCCTTGCACACAAAACCTCCTTCACCCCCTCCCTCCAATCTTTCCTAGGCTGACCTCTACCCCGCCTTCACTCCACTACAGATTTATATATTCTCGAAGTCATTCTATTTTGTTCCATCCTCTACACATGTTCAAACCACCTCAACAACCCCTCCTCAGCCCTCTGGGTAATAGTTTTGGTAATCTCGCACCTCCTCCTAATTTCCAAACTACGAATTCTCTGCATTATATTCACACCACACACTCCCCTCAGACACAACATCTCCACTACCACCAGCCTTTCTCCTTGTTGCAACATTCACCACCCATGCTTCACACCCATATAAGAGCACTGGTATAACCATACTCTCATACATTCCCCTCTTTGCTTTCAAGGACAAGTTCTTTGTCTCTATAGACTCCTCAGTGTACCACTTGCCTTTTTCCCCTCATCAATTCTGCGATTCAGCTCATCTTTCATAGACCCATCTGCTGACACATCCACTCCTAAATATCTAAATACATTCATCTCCTCCATACTCTCTCCCTCCAACCTGATATCCAATCTTTCATTTCCTAATTTTTTTGTTAGCCTCATCCACCTACTCTTTCCTACATTCACTTTCAATTTTCTCCTTTTACATATGCCATCAAACTCATCCACCAACCTCTGCAACTTCTCTTCAGAATCTCCCAAAAGCACAGTGTCATCAGCAAAGAGCAACTGTGACAACTCCCACTTTGTGGGAGTTGTCACAATTGCCAACACCCAAGCATTCACTTCTCTTACAACCCCATCTATAAATATAGTGAACAACCATGGTGACATCACACACCCTTGTTTAATGCCAACTTTTACTGGGAAATAATCTCCCTCTCTCCTTCATACTCTAACCTGAGCCTCACTATCCTTGTAAAAACTTTTCACTGCTTTCAATAACCTACCTCCTATTCCATGCACTTGCAACATCTGCCACACTGCTCCCGTATCTACCCTGTCATATGCCTTTTCCAAATCCATAAATGCCACAAAAACCTCTTTAACCTTATCTAAATACTGTTCACCTATATGTTTCACTGTAAACACTTGGTCTACACACCCTTTACCCTTCCTAAAGCCTCCTTGTTCATCTGCTATCCTATTCTCCGTCTTACTCTTAATTCATTCAATAATAACTATCACACACTTTACCAGGTGTGAAGACTTACTCAGCCCTGTAACAACTTCAGTCAGTATTACCAAGGCTGGCTCCTCCTCAGGAAAATTAATGAATAGAAAAGGAAATTATAACAGACAATGATAAACACTTTATTATTTAGAAACGGAAAATGTAAAACAATAAAACATGAACGGGTATCCTAACTGAAAGAAAAATGAAAAATGAAATGAAAAAAATGACATTTGAACTCAACGCTAATATAGGTATATCGTGGTAATGGGGTGTCAGGTGTTGGTGACACTGCGTGTTGTTGAAATCGTAGCCGTTGCTGATGATGGGGGGGGGGGGGGTCGCAGGTGTTGGAGACAACCCACCAGCTCGTTCTTCACAGAGTTTATAACCGTAAATAATTAATCCAGATGACAGGAAAGCAGGTTCATTACCACTGCTATGATGAGGGGTTAGGGCCTGCGTTGGCATACATAACAGGTAAGTAGATTAAACATGGGACGTCTCAGGACGTTAGTCCGTCTCCTTCTATTCTTCTCGTTGGTTGGCAGGTGACCCACTCTGTCATTCCAAGCTGTAGAGAGAGACAGATTACCCACTGCTTAAGAAATCACTCTCCATGATAAGTACAATACCTAAAAGATGTGGTGATTATTAAAATATTTAACCGATCAAGACTGAAAGGACTAAGTTAATTATTGGTCAAAAGTGAAGCTTTCAACCAGTAAGTCCACTAAAACATGATCAGGCGTGTACTTACAGTAGTGCTGGGAGCTGTGAGTCGAGTGATTTAATGTTTGATTGGAGCCCCACACGTCACCTTTCAGGGGGGGGGGGATAACGGGAGCTAGACTGACCCTACCTTAACAAGCAGCCGGCAATGAAACTATTGTTACTATATACTCCCTCGCTACTCCTATCTATTGAACTTTTCCCTCACACTCCCCCATACCAAGACTTATAGTCAAGGAGTATAAGAAGAATAGGCGAGGAAAAAGTTCTAACATGTGGAAGTCGCGTAAGGCAACAAATCTTCTGACTGTCACAACTTAACCAGTCAGAGAAATAATTGGATGAACCATTCATATACACAACATGGAACTTAAAAGCCTGAAGTGCCAATGTCTACCTCAAGAGGCGACTGTTGGTTCCCTTAAAAGTTTCTAGGTATATCAAAGGTTTGTGACCCGTTTCTAAAATGAATTCTTTTCCCAGTAGATAAAATTTAAGCTTGGAGATACCCCACACAAGAGCCAAACATTCCTTCTCTATGGTGGAGTATCTCGTTTCTGCAGGAGGGAAGTTTTAGATTTAACCCTTTGACTGTCGACGTCGTATATATACGTCTTACGAGGTACCGTGTTTGACGTATATATACTCATAAATTCTAGCGGCTTCAAATCAAGCAGGAGAAAGCTGGTAGGCCCACATGTGAGAGAATGGGTCTGTGTGGTCAGTGTGCACCATATAAAAAAAATCCTGGAGCATGCAGTGCATGAGAAAAAAAAAAAAACGACCGTTTTTTTCAATTAAAATGCCGACTTTGTGGCCTATTTTCGTATAGTATTTATGGTTGTATTCTCGTTTTCTTGGTCTCATTTGATAGAATGGAAAACATATTATAGAAATAGAGGTGATTTTGATTGATTTTACTATAAAAAGAACCTGGAAATGGAGCTCAAAGTAGGGGAAATGTTTGATTTTTGCCGATGTTCAAAAGTAAACAAATGATGTTATTATCCAATAAATGTCAAACTAGTCATTCTAATATGCAGTCGGGAATGGGTTGATGTTATTTATACAATTATTACAGTATTTCAGTAGTCTGCATAACAGTAAATCTTCTATTTTTTGTTTGAATAAAAATTCAAAATAGAAAGCAAGAGTAATATCAGAGGGGCCTGGAGATGTGATTGATGAACAAAGAAAATGTTATTTTAAAGCCAGGAATGTCTGCATTGTTCATTCTGGACCGTATTTTGAAATTGTCATATTTTTTAATTTTCGTGAAACTGGCCAAATTGCAAATTTCTGACCATGTTATTGGGTAGTTGAAATTGGTAAATGGGCAGTTTCTTGTATTCAATCGATAGAAAAAATTGAGTTCTAAAGAAATAGCTATGAGCTTGGTAGACTGGAACAATGGAATTAGCCGAAAATAGGGGTCAAAGTGGGCGAAATCGCCGATTTATAAATATCGCCGAGGTCGCTAACTTTGCGAGAGCATAATTCCGTCAGTTTTCTATTCAAATTTTGTGTTTTTGGTGTCATTACAATCGGGAAAAGATTCTCTTATCATTTCATAAGAAAAAATATATATATATATTTTTTTTTTGAAATTTTGCGACACCAGGAGACACTTCAGGATTGGGGGTTGCGACAGTCAAGGGGTTAATAAATATACAGGATTTAGGAGTGTGTGTATTTTGTGCAGTAAGCACCTGACACCTATTGCAAGAACTATACTTCTTTGTAACCTGTAAGTACATGCTTGGCCAAAAATAAGTGTGCTTGAGTTTATGCCACGTCTTACGATGGATCAAGTGTTCGGTCACTGGAAAATCATTGAGCCGTTTGAAGAACAGTCTCTCGGCATGGTTTAGGAACAAGTATGGAATAATCTATCACTGAAGAATGAGATTTAAAGACCGATTTATATAAGATACCATTAATATATTCAAACTTATGAGATACGTATCTCCCATGGATAACTTTGTTGTTAAAAGCTTGATTATGACAATCCCGAAGTGAAGGGCAATTGCGCTGTATATTGACAAAGTCATCCTTGGACATAAAATCTGGGAAAATAAAAGGACTCACGGTGGGAGAAGAGGAGGTAGGAGAAGCCGGGGTTATCGTCTGAGCCCTAGTCAAGAAATTGAGAGTGCTGGAGGCAATACCCTTATTTTCACCTGACGAGTGGAGAGGGGATCCTGCTACCTCACTATCGAGAGCAGTATCATCTGTTTCCACCCCCAAATGAACAGTACGAGATAATGCAGCTTCCGGTGCGGAATTGTTAAGGGGATTATTTAACTTGCAAGGAAGAGCTGGAAAACTTAGATCCGCCTCTGAAGGAAGAACGGCACCTTTAATGTTACCCGCTATTATAGAACAAGTAATTGGGGCTAGTACCGCATTAGTCCAACCGGTGAACCATTTAGTTTTCAAGTAACAACGTATTGTAGGGGAAGTATTTTCACGACCCAAGTAATCTGAAAGAATAGAGGACACACGAGAGGTTTTAAAGTAAGGGAACAGTTTGTCAGAAATTACGATGCACGTACATCCAGTGTCACGTAATATATCCGAGACTTTTATACCATTAACTGCTTCTGAACAGAAGGGTGCTTGGTCATTACCGTCAACAAAACATCTAACTTTTTGGACCTTCTTAGAAGGACAATCTGGACGTTTATGTCCCTTAACACCACACAAATGACAAACAGGAATAAAAGAAGTCATTTTACTTTCCACTAGAGGCTTTGATTTCTTAAGGTCTGATGAACCCTTGCCCTTAGGGTTCGATCCCTTTAGGTCTTTATAGGAATTGTGAGCCTCGGCATACAAGTCAGCGGCCTCAGCAACTTCCTCAGCTTTAATCAGGTTACGTTCTCCAATGAATGTTCTTATCTGGTGGGGAAGAGCTGTCAGGAACTGGTCAGGAACCATGAAGTCTCTAAGAGATTCATAACTGTGATCAATTCCTGAACTCTCTATCCAAAAGTCCAACAAACGAAAGAGTGTTACCTGTAACTGCTGAAAGTTCTGGCCAGGCTGTAAGGTGGCATACCTGAAATCTTTCCTGTAAGAATTTGTGGTTTTTTGATATGCTTTAAGGATTGCCTTCTTCAGTAGGTTATAATTACATATGATATCCTGCGACAAAGTTGCATAGATATTCAAAGTGGTACCAGAAAATAACATTCCTAACCTGGTAGCCCAGGTGTCAGCAGGCCATTCACAGAGGGTAGCGGTATTTTCAAACCTGATAAAGTATGAAGTTATGTCTTCACCCTCTGTGAAGGGAGGTAAATTAAGTGTTGGAATATGTGCACTAGCTGCACGATGTTCAATTACTCCTTCCTCTAATTGTTGTTGTGTAAAAGTTAACTTTTTATTCTCTAATTCAAGGCGAGATTTTTCGAGCTCGCGATCCTTTTCTCTCTCTATTAACTCATGTTCTCTATCCTTTGCTCTTTCCTCAAGTTCTCTTAATTTAACTTGTTCCTCACGTATTTTTGCTTGTTCCTCACGTTCTCTAGCTCTTTCCTCACGATCTTTTTGGTTTCCTCGCTCTCTTTCTGTCTTTCTCGGATTTCTCTCTCAATTCTCTCTCTCTCCTTTTTCTCCTGTCTTTCAAGGTTCTCTTTCTCCTTTTTCTCTTCTCTTTCGATTCTCTCTCTCTCTCCTTTTCTTCTTCTCTTTCCCTTTCTCTCTCTCTTCTCTCTCAATTCTTTCTCTTTCGAGTCTTTCCTGGATCTTAGCACTAATGAAAGATTCTAAATTTTTCCCTGTTATTCCTAACCTACTTCCAGCCTTCATCCAAAACTGGTATTCCTCCATGCTTGCAAGAATAACTTAAACTATCAGGGGAAATGAAACGGGTATTAAAGAAAACGGAGGGTTCAATTCCTGCTCTGCTCAAACTACAAATAAACCAGAGGGCTCGATCCCTACTTCAATTAAACAATATGTATTAATTAAAACGAAGGGTTCTATGCCGGCTCCGAGCAAACAGTAAGTAGAATGGGGTCCCTTGACCATCCAATCTTCTCACCAACAAATCAAGAGTGTCCTATGACAGTTTCCTTGATAAAATAAAGAGCTCAATGAAACAAATTGTCACTGGAAAATCTCGGGTCCCTAGAGTCTAATCCTCCAAAGTGTTTCAAGCTCGGAAAAAAGGTGGCAGAATTAACTATTATATCCTGCCTGACTTGACTTACAGTAAATTGAGACTATAACAATCACCAAATCTTTTAAATACCTGTACTGTAGTCCTACCATAGAGAATGATTACTCATGGCTGGTGGTAACCGTCTGTGGTATGCGGCGTTGAACTTCCAATGGTAGATTCGAGATGGAGTTGAATCTTGATTCAGTCGAGTTGATCCTGGCAAGGTCGCCACTTGTGAAGACTTACTCAGCCCTGTAACAACTTCAGTCAGTATTACCAAGGCTGGCTCCTCCTCAGGAAAATTAATGAATAGAAAAAGAAATAATAACAGACAATGATAAACACTTTATTATTTAGAAACGGAAAATGTAAAACAATAAAACATGAATGGGTATCCTAATTGAAAGAAAAATGAAAAACGAAATGAAAAAAATGACATTTGAACTCAATGCTAATATAGGTATATTGTGGTAATGGGGTGTCAGGTGTTGGTGACACTGCGTGTTGTTGAAATCGTAGCCATTGCTGATGATGGGGGGGGGGGGGGGGTCGCAGGTGTTGGAGACAACCCACTGGCTCGTTCTTCACAGAGTTTATAACCGTAAACAATTAATCCAGATGACAGGAAAGCAGGTTCCCTGCGTTGGCGTGCATAACAGGTAAGTAGATTAAACATGGGACGTCTCAGGACGTTAGTCCGTCTCCTCCTATTCTTCTCGTTGGTTGGCAGGTGACCCACTCTGTCATTCCAAGCTGTAAAGAGAGACAGATTACCCACTGCTTAAGAAATCACTCTCCATGATAAGTACAATACCTAAAAGATGTGGTGATTATTAAAATATTTAACCGATCAAGACTGAAAGGACTAAGTTAATTATTGGTCAAAAGTGAAGCTTTCAACCAATAAGTCCACTAAAATATGATCAGGCGTGTACTTACAGTAGTGCTGGGAGCTGTGAGTCGAGAGATTTAATGTTTGACCGGAGCCCCACACGTCACTTTTTTTTTTTTGGGGGGGGGGGGGAGGAAGGGATAGCGGGAGCTAGACTGACCCTACCTTAACAAGCAGCCGACAATCAAACTATCACTTTCGGGGAGGGGGAAAAGGGGGGGGGGAATAGCGGGAGCTAGGCTTACCCTACCTTAACAAGTAGCCGGCAATGAAATTATTGTTACTATTTACTCCTTCGCTACTCCTATCTATTGAACTTTTCCCTCACACCAGGTATACTCAACAGACTTATTTCCTTATAATTTTTGCATTCTCTTTTGTCCTCTTTGCCTTTATACAAAAAAACTATGCATGCTCTGTGCCAATCTCTAGGTACCTTACCCTCTTCCATACATTTATTAAGTAAAAGCACCAACCATTCCAGGGAAACAAGTTAGCTGGATTTGAGTCCTGGAGGTGGGGAGCACAAAGCCTGCACTTTAAACAAGGGGTTTGGGATATTCTCTGTTTTCAGTGACATCTAAACTGCTGTATCTTCACTTCTCTGCCAAGACAGTGATTATATATGAATGATTGTCAAAGTGTTTCTCTTCTGGGGTCACCCTGCCTTGGTGGGAGACAGCCAGCAGGTTAAAAAAATAAATAACTGTCACTGAATAAATTAACAAATTATTACTGTATCTAACTAAATACCAGTACTGAGAATAAATGAATACAAGTTTATCCTTTCAATAAATGTACAGTACAGTACAGTAAAAAAAAATTACAGTACATCGCACAATCATAATAACAAAATATCCTCAGTCAAACCATTATAAATCAAGGAGCATCTGTATATCAGTACAAATGTATTTTACTGTTTCTTTACATGAATTTTTCAGTCGATTTTAACTCACAGATGAAAAACTTAATACAAAAAAGTACAGAACTTTGTTACTTTAAATACTATTCAATAAATATCACAAATGTAAAACAGACAAGGAGACATACTGTACCTGCATCATATTCTGCTGCTGGGAAAGGTAACTGTAAAACTGAAAAATAAATAAAGCGTTATACATAAAATTTAGCTTAAGAGGAACAGCACCTAGACTATGTTACCACTCTTGACTAACTGTAAATATTACCCATGTAGATAAACACATATAACTCAAATACTGTGGTGCCCTGAGTTTCAAACTGCTCCTAACATGACCAATTATGTAAGTGTATTCTTGTAAGTGCTTTTGTAAGTGTATTTTTGGGGGTCTGAAATGGACTAAACTAATTTACATTATTCCTTATGGGAACAAATTCATTCGGTAACGGCACTCGAGCAGCCTTCTGGAACGAAGAAAGTTCGAAACTTGGGGTACAACTGTATTAGAATAAATATTTATTATTTAATTTTACAATACATATAACAAAATGCCATGTGAAGTTTTTCTATAGATCTTATACTGAATACTATAAATCATATTTAACCCTTAAATGGTCCAAACGTATATATAAGTTTTTTCAACATCTGAAAGTATGTAAAAAAATGTAGATCTTTTTTGTTTTACATTTGAAAACGTGTAAAAAAAACTTTTATCTACATTTTTTTTTTGTTATATTTGAAAATATGTTAAAAAAAGTAGATCTACTTTTGTAGCAATACGAATTTAAACGTTGATTTGTTTGGACCGTTTAAGGGTTAAACAACTTTTTGAAAGAATGACGTAATGGCTGAAATGTGGTTTAAATTACAATGGTAACAAATTAGGTTTAAGAAATTAAGCATAAACAAAAGACAAAAATAGAACTACATAAAATGGTAACTTAAATAACAAATACAAGCAAAAAATCCATGAAAGAAGGGATACTGCATTGAAAAACTTAGCTAATGCCCAAACAAGTAAAAAAAAGGGGATACTAAGAAGAGCAAGGAGTCAAATAGTACATAAACATTAGAGGTTAAATAACCAGCACTTATGAGAGAGTAATGATATTTTAGTCTGACCTGAACCACAGACAAGTCATAATGACTCGTCAGTCGTCCAGTGATTATGTACGAGTGAGGTGAAAGTATTGAATGGTGATGAAAGTATTTTCTTTTTCGGGATATTCTTTCATTTTGGGTCACCCTGCCTCGGTGGGAGACGGCCGATTTGTTAAAAAAAAAATATACATACATACATACTGTACTTTTAAAATATGCCTCACACTAAATGCTATAGCTTTTTGCATGCTTTCTGTCACCCCAACTGGTTGGTTCTTATAAAATCTTCTAATCTTTATCTAATGCTTTGGTCTTTTCCATTTAGTGTGTAAAATATAATTTATTATCTCCTGTAGGTCTTTTTTTTTTAATTTAGTTATTTTTTTAACAAGTTCTTCTGTTAAAATAAGTCACAGTATCCAGGTTTTTTTTTTTTTAACAAGTTCTGTCTTAAGAATGAAGGTCAACATATCCAGTGTTTTATTAACAAGTTCTTCTGCTAAAGAATCAAGGTCACAGTACAATGGATGGAACAAGACACAGGTAACCTGCATGTAGGAGAGGGAAAATAATGAGGCAGTGGAGATGTCCTGTCTAAGAGCAATGTGTGGTGTAAATATTATGCAGAAAATTCGGTGTGTGGAAATTAGGAGAAGGTGTGGAGTTAATAAAAGTATTAGTCAGAGGGCTGAAGAGGGGTTGTTGAGGTGGTCTGGTCATTTAGAGAGAATGGATCAAAGTAGAATGACATGGAGAGGTATAAATCTGTAAGGGAAGGAAGGCGGGGTAGGGGTCGTCCTCGAAAAGGTTGGAGGGAGGGGGTAAGGGAGGTTTTTGTGGGTGAGGGGCTTGGACTTCTAGCAAGCGTGCATGAGCATGTTAGATAGGAGTGAATGAAGACGAATGGTATTTGGGACCTGACGATCCGTTGGAGTGTCAGCAGGGTAATATTTAGTGAAGGGATTCAGGGAAACCGGTTATTTTTATATAGTCGGACTTGAGTCCTGGAAATGGGAAGTACAATGCCTGCACTTTAAAGGAGGGGTTTGGGATATTGGCAGTTTGGAGGGATATGTTGTGTATCTTTATATGTGTATGCTTCTAGACTGTTGTATTCTGAGCACCTCTGCAAAAACAGTGATAATGTGCGAGTATATGTATGTATGTATGTATGTATGTATGTATGTATGTATGTGTACCAGGGAGGTACTACCGTCCTGCCAAGTGAGTGTAAAACGAAGCCTGTGATTGTTTTACATGATGGTAGGATTGCTGATGTCTTTTGTCTGTCTCATAAATATGCAAGATTACAGGCATGTCTTGCTACTTCTACTTACACTTAGGTCACACTACACATACATGTACACATTTATTTATACACACTCATCTGAGTTTTCTTTGATTTTATCTTAATAGTTCTTGGTCTTATTAATTTTCCTTTTATATCCATGGGGAAGTGGAATAAGAATCTTTCCTCCGTAAGCCATGCGTGTTGTAAAAGTAAACCTAAAAATGCCGGGAACAATGGGCTAGTAACCCCTTTTCCTGTAAAAAGATTACTAAAAAGAATAAGAAGAAGAAAATTGTCAAAGTGGGAATTTCGAATTGCGGTGGATGTTGGGGCAGATGATAAGAAAGAGTGATTGTGGATTTTAATGAATGAGAAGAAGCTGGATGTCCTGCTTTAAGTGAAACAAAGCTGAAGGGGTAGGAGAGTTTCAGTGGAGAGGAATAAATGGGATTAGGTCAGGGGTTTCAAATAGAGTTAGAGCTAAAGAAGGAGTAGCAATAATGTTGAAGGATAAGCTATGGCAGGAAAGAGGGACTATAAATGTATTAATTCAAGGATTATGTGGAGTAAATAAAAGATTGGATGTGAAAATTTGGGTTATAATAAGCGTGTATGCACCTGGAGAAGAGAGAAGTGTTAGAGGAGAGAGAGGATTTTGGGAAATGTTGGGGTGAATGCGTGGGGAAAGTTTTGAATCAAGTGTGAGAGTAATGGTGGTTGGGGATTTTAATGCTAAAGTGGGTAAAATGTTATGGAGGGAGTAAAGTAGGTAAATTTGGGGGTGCCAGGGGTAAATGTAAATGGGGAGCCTTTAATTTGAGCTATGTGTAGAAAGAAATTTGGTAATAAGTAATACATATTTTATGAAAAAGAGGATAAATAAAATTACAAGGTATGATGTAGCACGTAATGAAAGTAGTTTATTTAGATTAATGTATTGGTGGATAAAAGGTTGATGGGTAGGCTCCAGGATGTAACATGTTTATAGGGGGCAACTGATATATCGGATCATTATTTTGTTGTAGCTACAGTTAGAGTAGAGGTAGATGGGAAAAGGGGAAAGGTGGCAACAACAAGTAAGGGGGAGGTGAAAGTTTTATAAACTAAGGGAAGGAGGAAGTTCGGGTGAGATATAAGCGACTATTGGCAGAAGGGTGGGCTAGTGCAAGATGAGTAGTGGGGGGGTTGAGAGGGTTGGAATATTTTTAAAAATGCAGTATTAGAATGTGGGGCTGAAAGTTTGTGGTTATAGGAGGGTGGGGGCAGGAGGAAAGAGGAGGGGATTGGGTGGAATGATGAAGTAAAGGGTGTGATTAAAAAGAGAAAAAGGTAGCTTATGAGAGGTTTTTACAAAGCAGAAGTGGTATAAGAAGAGCAGAGTATATGGAAAAGTAAAAGAAAGGTAAAGAGAGTGGTGGAGAGAGTGCAAAAGGAGAGCAGATGATAGAGTGGGAGAGGCACTGTCAAGAAATTTTAATGGAAAAAAAGAAAAAATTTTGGGTGAGTTAAACAAGTTTAAAAAAGCCTAGGGGAAAATATGGATTTGTCAGTTAAAAAACAGGTAGGGGAGTTAGTGAATGGGGAGATGGAGGTATTGGGTAGATGGCGAGAAAAATTTTGAGGAACTTTTAAATGTTAAGGAGAAACAGAGGCAGTAATTTCATGCACTGGTCAGGGGGGGTATACCATCTTTTTAGGAGTGAAGAAGGAGCAAATGTAAGTGTGGGGGGGGTACGTGAGGCATTACGTAAAATGAAAAGGGGGTTAAGCAGCTGGAAAATGATGGGATCATGACAGAAAATGTTAAAAGCAGGGGGGGATATAGTGTTGGAGTGGTTGGTTTTTTTGTTTAATAAATGTATTTAAAGAGGGGAAGGTACCTAGGGATTGGCGAGGCATGTATAGTCCCTTTATATAAAGGGAAAGGGGACAAAAGAGACTGTAAAAATTATAGAGGAATAAGCTTACTGAGTATACCCGGAAAAGTGTACGGTAGGGTTATAATTGAAGAATTAGAGGTAAGACAGAATGTAGGATTGGGATGAGCAAGGAGGTTTTAGAGTGGGTAGGGGATGTGTAGATCAGGTGTTTACATTGAAGCATATATGTGAACAGTATTTAGATAAAGATAGGGAAGTTTTTATTGCATTTATGGATTTAGAAAAGGCATATGATAGGGGTGGATAGAGGAGCAATGTGGCAGATGTTGCAAGTATATGGAATTTGGGGTAAGTTATTAAATGCTGTAAAGAGTTTTTATGAGGATAGTGAGGCTCAGGTTAGGGTGTGTAGAAGGAGGGAGACTACTTCCAGTAAAAGTAGGTCTTAGACAGGGATGTGTAATGTCACCATGGTTGTTTAATATATTTATAGATGGGGTTGTAAAGGAAGTAAATGCTAGGGTGTTTTGGGGGAGGGGTGGGATTAAATTATGGGAATCAAATTCAAATGGGAATTGACACAGTTACTTTTTGTGATGATCTGTGCTTATGGGAAAATTCTAAAGAAAAAAATTTCAAAGGTTAGGGGTGAGTTTGGGAATGTGTGTAAAGGTAGAAAAATTGAAAGTGAACATAGAAAAGAGTAAGGTGATGAGGGGTCAAATGATTTAGATAAAGAAAATTGGATATCAAATTGGGGGGGAGGAGTTGGAAGAAGGAATGTTTTCAGATACTTGGGAGTTGAGTGTCGGCGGATGGATTTATGAAGGATGGGTTTAATCTAGAATTGATGGGAAAAAAAAAAAAGGTGAGTGGTGGGTTGAGGTAATTGGAGTCAAAAAAGTTATCTTGGGGGCAAAAAAGGGAATGTATAAAAGTATAGAGTCCAACCTTTATAGGGGGTTTTTAAGCTTGGGTGGTAAATGCAGCGCGAGGAGACGGTTGGGGGCAGCGGGATGTCCTGGTTTTTGGGGCAATGTGTGTGTAAATATTATGCAAAAAAATTCGGAGTGTGGAAATTAGGAGAAGGGTGTGGATTTAAAAAAAAGTATTAGTCAAGGGGCAAAGGGGGGTTGTTGAGGGGGTTTTGGTCATTTAGAGAGAAGGGATCCAGTAGAAGACTGGAAAGCATTAAATCTTGGGGGAAGGGAAAGGGGGGTAGGGGTCGTCCCGAAAGGGTTGGAGAGGGGGGGGTAAAGGAGGTTTTTTGGGGTAAAGGGGCTTGGACTTCCCAAAGCGTGGTGAGGTGTTAGTAGGAGTGAATGGAGACGAGGTCTTGGGACCTGACGATTTTTGGAGTGTGAGCAGGGAATATTTGTAAAGGGGTTCAGGGAAACCGGTTTTTTTCATATAGTCGGACTTGAGCCCGGGAAAAGGGGAAATACAATCCCTGCACTTTAAAAAGGGGGGGTTTTTGGGATATTGGCAGTTTGGAGGGTTGTTGTGTATCTTTATATGTGTATGTTCTAGACTGTTGTATTTGAGCCCCCTCTGCAAAAACAGTGATAATGTGCGAAGGTGGGTGAAAAGGTTGAATGTGATAATTATTTTTTTTTTGGGATTTTCTTTCTTTTTTGGGTCCCCTGCCCCGGTGGGAGCGGCCGATTTTTGAAAAAAAAAAAAAATTATATATTATATATATTTATTATATATATTATATATATTATATATTATATATATACATAATAAATACATACATACATAAGTCAATCACATAAAAATAATAAAAAAAACTCAGGATTGGAAGTGAGAAGGGGGAAAAAAGTTACCCGCTGATTAGCTAAAAAAAACTAACATTAAAATTTTTAAATTCCTTCACTGTATATTAGTTACTGTGGAAAATTACCTTGTTAGCTTAATAGGGCAGTGAAAAGTTTTGTTTTTGCTGTTTTACTGAATTACTCGCCCACATAAAGGGGGGCAGTTTTGTTAATCCTTTCTAAAGTAGTGCAGTTTTGTTTTTAAAAATCCCCTCCATTAAAGGGACTAAATCCCCCCACCCATACGCTTGTAGCTCTTTTCAAGGTGCCTTTAATTACGCCATATCAGAAACAAAGACATGACAAACGTTTTAAAAAAGAATAACCCTTTCTGTGAGATAGGGGGTTTTTTTTAAAAAGACATGTGAGCAAACACTAGGGCATATTTATTAAAAAAATATTTCGGTCCGGGGATTGATCCTTCAAAGGCCCCAGGACGTAAAGTTTTCTAACAAAAAATTTCCTAGTGTTTCCTAAAGCGTCTTAAAGAAAATTTGGGTCGTACAATTACAGGGGGAACCTCAGAATCGAACAGTCCCAACTAACCAATTATGTAAGTGTATTTTTGTAAGTGCTTTTGTAAGTGTATTTTTGGGGCCTAAAATGAATAACTAATTTACATTATTCCTGATGGGAATAAATTCGTTCCCCTAACGGCACTCGAACAGCGTTAATGGAAATTTCAATTTTGAGGTTCCACGTCAAAGGTTTACCCCATGTGAGATAGTACTGTAGAGAAAAGAGATTTTAAGCCCTGGGGTTGAACTTAAAGACTTGCAACCATCGCAGGCACCATCACAAATTAAGTGTCAAATCTCAAAACCATCATTAAATCAGTGGTAAAAATGCTGACAATTTGGAGAAAGATACATGGTAACTGTTTGATGTATTTTGGCGGAGTATCGCCTGACCAGAAGGCGATACTCAAAACAGTGGTAGTGGAAAGTAAACATGAGGTAATCGTAATCACCTCTTCATTCCCACTGAAGAAACCTGCTGAGTAGGCAAAAAAAAAATCATGTGAAAAAATATGTTGCACCAATACACTCACCTATTCTTTGTAAAGTGCTGACTTGTAGGAGTTATCAGCATTACAAGACAAAAAGAGTATAAGAAAAGCCAATAAAAGAATATCAGTAAATGGTTAAAGAAAAATGTTAAGCTTGAATCAAGAGTAAAACATTGCATACCAAAAGGTTCGGCAGAATGTACTGGTAAAATAAGACGTTGTTAGGAAGCCTTGAAGAATACCACAACTGACTGGAAAGGGAAGTACATGTGACACGTAAAATACCACGATTGACTGAAAACAAACACGTGACATGGTACAATACTACAAATGACTGGAAAGAAGTACGTGACAGTACAATAACATGACAGGTGGGCATAGTAGTACAACGAAAGTTACTGGAGAAGCAAGACAGGCAACAACAAAAATGCCATAACATACCTGAAAGTATTGTGTTGCATGGAGTCGTCTGTTCTTTCGTTGAATACAGATACCTCTTTTCCTTGACGAACCTTGAATACAATTTTGTGGAAATTTTCTAGAGTTGTTGGAGAAAAATCATTGAATATGTTACAAATTCATATACATAAATACTATACTAAGAATTCTAAAAAAAAAAAAAAAAATAAAAAGCCAAGATAAACTATTAACTGTTCTACTGTATAGCGTTCCTTTTTTCATCACAATAAGCTATGTTTTTAATATGCAAATTTCTAATAATTCTTAATAATACTTTCTCCAAAATCCACATCTGTTTCTTTGCCTTCCTTAAATTTCTAGTTTAAAAAATTCAAATACACCTGTTGGATGTTCGAGCAAGGGGCTTGGACACCAACAAAGGGGTGTTGTGTGTGTGTGTGTGTGTGTGTTGTGTGTGTGTGTGTGTGTGTGTGGATGTGAGTGTGAGTGTGAGTGTGAGTGTGAGTGTGAGTGTGGTGTGTGTGGGGTGAGTGTGGTGTGTGTGTGTGTGTTGTGTGTGTGTGTGTGTGTGTGGTGTGTGTGTGTGTGTGTGTGTGTGTGTGTGTGTGTGTGTGTGTGTTGTGGTGTGTGTGTGTGTGTGTGTGTGTGTGTGTGTGTGTTGTGTGTGTGTGTGTGTGTGTGTGTGTGTGTGTGTGTGTGGTGTGTGTGTGTGTGTGTGTGTGTGTGTGTATGGTGTGTGTGTGTGTTAGAAGCAAGTAGAGGAAAATAGTTTTTATGACTTGACGTGTTGTTGAAGTGTGAACAAGGTAACATTTATGAAGAGATTCAGGGAAACTGGTTGGCCAGACTTAAGTCCTGGAGGTGGGAAGTACATTGCCTGCAGTTTTGAAGAAGGGGCGGGGATATTGCAGTTTGGAGGGGCGTCTGACCTGTAATGTCGGCACATCTCTGGCAAGACAGTGATGGCACGAGTGACAGTAAAAGTGCTTCTTCTTTTTCAGGGTCACCCCTATCTTGATGGGAGATGGCTAGTGTTAAAAAAAACAAAAAAAAAACTAACAACACCTTTCATCCTTTGAATGTTATACTTGCCTTTTATCTGTAACAATCTCATTTATATGTCTCTCCTTCCTCCCACCGAGTCTTCCCAGGTTTATTCCTTTTTCCTGCTCCTCCTGCCCTCTCCAATATACAGTACAGTATACTAGTGGTGAATGGTGCCACCACCTTGTTGACAATATTTTATCCCTATTCTAGCCCTTCAAAACACTGATACACTGTAAACTATGCTCTATTTACTTGACAGTTTACCTTGCTGCAACAAATCCCCCAAATTCTAGAAATAATAGCTTTTTAAAAAGTTAAGCTAGATTTTATGTTGCCTGTTCAAAGTGTCTTCCAAGTGTGCAGTTAGTTAATTACACAATTAAGTTTTTCAATGTGCCAGATCAACCACTGTGAAGGTTATGTGAACCAGCAGATGACAAATAGCAACAGCCTGGTTGAACAGACAATTAACCAGTATGACTGCCTTAGGATGGACAGAGTAGAAAACCCCCTCTAAACCTATCAGACAACTGCTTAATCAAACAAGTCAATCATAATATAACTTGGGGATTCCAGCTATAACATTCTTAAAAGTAGATCATTGCTTAGTAAGTTAATATAGGTACAGGTACACATAAGTATAGTTACACAAATTCGAGGCAAAGTATCTTATAACACTTTTAGATTAGATTTAAGTGGTTAGCTTATCGTTAATACCAAGTTAGTATTTTGGAGAGTAGGTACTGCCACTGTAACAGCAGACAAGTTGAAACAACATTTGAAAGGTTAATACATAACTATTTATGTATTGGAAGAAATCACACAATAAAACGTGTGATTGCACATATGAAAAAATACCAGTGAAAACAGGAAATGAAAATTAGACATTACATGTATATGCAACATCTGGGTATCTTTATTGTAGACGTTTTGCCAACCAGTGGCTTTATCAATACAAATTCTAGGACATAATTTGAAGACAGTGTGTAGGGTACGGCACTCTTCACACCAACTCCAAGACTGAGGGACTGATTACCTCACCTTTTGTATACAGTTCTACTGTCTTCAAATTTTGTCCTAGAATTAGTATTGATAAAGCCACTGGTTGGCAAAACGTCTACAATAAATATATCCAGATGTTGGAAATAAATGGTATAAAATATCGACACAATGGAAATATAAACACACATGCAGTATAATGTGATCCTTTATTGACAACGTTTCGCCCACACAGTGGGATTTTTCAAGTCACAAACAGATCTACCTGGGGTGGAAGGTACGCGAATATTTAAAGCCAGGTTCAGAATGCTGAGGTCAGGTGGAGAATGCTGCATTTGATGATGTACCGAGTGGGGTTATAGAGTCTAAAATCTTGGGTAGCTTGGAAAGGAGATTGGATGAGTTTGTGAGCAGACCTTCTACAGTGTTCTTTCATTCCTGTGTTCTTATGTGGGATAGCGATGAAGAAGTTTCTTGGCAAGTGGTTCAGCTATGTTATAGAAGCAATTGTTCTGGTTGAAGTTGTCGGATATAGAAATAAAGTGATGATTCCAGGACATCAAGGACATTACCAGTGATAGACAGGACAAGCTTCCATCCTCTGCAGGGGTATACATAATCCCAAGTAATGACTGCAACAAATTCTACGTGGGCGAAACATCAAGGGACCTCCAAACACGTATTTCAGAACACCAATACGCAAGCAGGTCTGACGATACAAGGAATGCCTGTGTACAACACCATAATTCACACAACCACTTGATAAAATACAGAAATCAAGACTTTTTCGCCACAGAAGGGGCAACACTCGATACGAAGAAACCCGGAACATCGCTTATCTCTATATCCGACAAATTCAACCAGAATAGTGGCTTCTATAACATGCTGAACCCCTTGCCAAGAAACTTCTCATCGCTATCCACATAAGAAACCGCGGGTCCGCTAAAAAACTTTTAATTTTTCCAAAACTACCCCAGATTTTTGACTCTTTTAACCCCACTCGGGTACATCAAGATCGATTTCCATATCAGTTTGCCCGCTAAAATATACCTTCCCCAGGAAATTTTTGTGCAAACCCCGTTCAAAAGTTGTCAAAAAGGAAAAATCCCCTTGTTTAAATGATTTCCCTTCCCGTTTTTGAACATTCAAGTGAGAGGACAATGAAGAACTAACCACTGATGAGCTGATAGATCAACTTCAAGAGCAAGAGGCCAGACCTGAGGAAACTGGTTCAGAGGAGGGGAGAGAGAAATTGAAGAAGTTGCCTACTACAAAGATTAAAGAAATCTGTGCAAAGTGGCTTGAAGTGCAAACCTTCATGGATGAAAATCACCCTCACACAGCTATTGCAAGCCGTGTTGGCAACCTGTACACTGACAATGTTGTGAAACACTTTAGGGAAGTCATAAGGAACGAGAGGTATAGGCCACTATGGACAGATATGTTGTGCGAAAGAAGTTCCAGTGACTCTGAAGCTGGTCCTAGTGGCATTAAAAGAAGAAGGGAAGTAACCCCAGAAAAGGACTCGACACCTCAAGTCTTAATGGAAGGGGATTCCCCTTCTAAACACTAACACTCTCTCTCCCCTCCTCCCATCCATCAATCATCACCAGATCTTCAATAAAAGTAAGTGTCATGTAAGTGTGCATGCCTTTTTCAGTTTGTGTGTATTAAAATTAACATTTCATGTGGTAAAAAATTTTTTTTTTCATACTTTTGGGTGTCTTGCACGGATTAATTTTATTTCCATTATTTCTTATGGGGAAAATTCATTCACATACCGATTATTTCGCATAACAATTACCCCTCTTGCACGGATTAAAATCGTTATGCGGGGGTCCACTGTAGTGGCTTCTATAACATAGCTGAACCACTTGCCAAGAAACTTCTTCATCGCTATCCCACATAAGAACACAGGAATGGAAGAACACTGTAGAAGGTCTGCTCACAAACTTATCCAATCTCCTTTCCAAGCTACCCAAGATTTTAGACTCTATAACCCCACTCAGTACATCATCAGATGCAGCATTCTCCACCTGACCTCAGCATTCTGAACCTGACTATAAATACTCCCGTACCTTCCACACCAGGTAGATCTGTTTGTGACTTGAAAAAGCCCACTGTGTGGGCAAAATGTTGTCAATAAAGGATCACATTATACTGCATATGTGCTTATAAATGTATTTCCATATCCAGATGTTGCATACATGTCTAAGTTTCATCTTGTCGGTATTGTATACCATTTGTGTACAAAATAGGAAATAAAATCCGAGTGCTTTCATGTGCTTACACATGTCATATCTGGGCCCCTCTGCAAAGACAGTGATTATGTGTGAATGTTGGTTAAGAGTGCTTCTTTTTTGTGTCACCTTGCCTCGGTGGAGACGGCCGACATGTTGAAAACAAAAAGATTCTTACCATAATTAAAATCAAAAAGAAATTGTTTCAACACATTCCTCTATTTACGTTAAAAATTCTAGCTATTAAGTAAATAACTATACAGAAATTTTAACTTATGAATCGGAAGACAGGATGACCGTCACAAAAAAGAAAGTTAAGTTTTGGTACACGTATGAACAGTAAATGCTCTATTAAACAGTACCTTTTAATCTGTACAACACACTGAACTACCAGGCAAAAACCATTCAGCTATGTTGAAAATGGTATAAAATACTGTCAAGATGATCAGATACACAAGTAACAGTTGGATATTTTTATTGTTGAAACATTTCACCTACACGATAGGCTTCTTCAATCAAATGCAGAGTATAGGATGAAGGTAGCGGAAGTGACAGGGTAAAGATCTAATCAGTCCGTCAGACCATGGAGCTGAACTCTTCTCCAGGCTGAGGGACTGACAACCTCCAACTATTTTTACACAGTTGACGGACTGACTACCTCGTCACTCTTGCTGCCTTCAACCTATACTCTGCATCTGACTGAAGAAGCCTACCCTAAAGGCAGAACATTTCAACAATAAACACACCCGACTGTTGCAGATGTGTCTTACTCATCAAAAGCATTCAGATACCCAAAAAATCCCAAGGCATGCAAAACTATAAACCACTTCATATATGCCTGTTAAGTACGTGTGGCAAGACCACTTTCAAATGCCATCTGGCATTAAAGTGCCAACATTTGTGTGACAAAAAAAAAAAAAAAACATCAAAAATCCTTAATCCTTATTCATTCAACTTACCACTTCATATCAGCTTTAGGCTCAACCCATCCTCCAATTATAACTATATGCCTTTGTAAATGACTTCAACAGAGCAAACATCTGCAATGTTGCTTTATTTCCATTCTGCCTTTTATACAACGGTAATGCAAATACAAGATGAAATAAGGGAATCAGCAGCAGAAAGGGAAGCTGATGCATAGCAAATTTATTTAGTTAGAGGTGCACTTAAGTACAATCATACATAGCAAAATGTGTGTAAATTACACAAATAACCTGCACGTAGGAGAGAGAAGCTTACGACGACATTTCGGTCCAACTTGGACCATTTACAAGTCTGTGTGACTTTGTAAATGGTCCAAGTAGGACTGAAACGTAGCCCTAAGCTCCTCTCTCCTATGTGCAGGTTATTTGTGTATTGTTCCAGTCATGGTATTGTGCCTTTGTGTTGTTTATATGCATTAATTGCCTGGAATAACCCAAAACAGTGACGTATTTTCATTGGGGTCCATATGATATCTTATTATGTATTGCATTTATCAATTTTCCTGGTGTTTACATGACTGGGATGAATCAGACTATCCTGGACTACTCACAATCCAGTTAGAATCTATCTACAGTCTACTCACACAGCAGTTGGAACCCATCTACAGTCTACTCACATACCAATCAAAATTCAGCCATGCAAGCCTTTGATATACAGTGGAACCCTGGTGTTTGAAAGTACCAAACCTCGAACAAAACAAAGTCCGAACAACTTTCTTCAAAAACATTGACCCGGTATCTGAATGTTTTTCTGGAGTCCGAGCTCACTGCCTTGTTTACAGTTGAGCTGTAAAAATTTTTTACATGAATGCTCTGTTTCAAATGTACAGTGGTACCTCAGGAAACAAACTTATTTTGTTCCGGAAGGCTGTTCGAGTGCTGATACCGAACGAATTTGTTCCCATAAGGAATACATAATGTAAATTAGATTAATCCGTTTCAGACCCCAAAAACATACTTACAAAAGCACTTACATAAATACACTTACATAATTGTTCGCGTTTTGAGCTGTTCATATCCCGAGGTACCACTATACTTAGAAGTGACCTCTGACACTGACCTAACTCAGAGACTCTTGGAAAAGTCAGTTCAACATCCTCAAGTTTGAGAGACTCATGAAGCCTGGCAAATACTGTTTCCCACATCGAACTTTTTGCAGTTACAATACCACCTAGGAATCCATTAAGCTCAAACACTGAGGTTCCACTGTATGTACATCCCCACATTCTAAGGGAGAGACAAAATAAAACATAATAATAATTTGAATTACCTGATTCTGATGCAAAAGTAAAGAGCAGATCCTCATGGGGGGATGCAAATAAATAAGATTTTCTTCCTAGCCGACAGCATTCTGTCTTCGTGTCAACCGGAATGTCTAAAACACAAATGTCACCTGTGACAAAGAAAAAAACACACACTGAATAAAACTTTAAGAAACAAGCACAGACTATAACAACTTACATCTGAAATATTATTGATAAATTACATACCTGGAGGCTACACGTTAAAAATAAGTGAAATTCCAATTCGTCAAAATTTTAAATTTAAACCATTTCTCCAAACATATAATAAAACTATTTCACTGAAACTCAATTAAAATAAAACACTAATTCTGAAAGTGATCAGATTTCAGTCATAAAGGGGCAAATTCTTATAGCTACAATCACCAACAAAAAATTGTCTACAGGATATTTTGAATAGTCTGTAAAAATGATGTTGGCAAAAACTGCATCTAGAATTATGAGAATATTTTTTTTCAATCCACAGCAATGAATTCCAGTCAACTGATAACCTCTTATCTGAAGAGTTTTATGTACCCACTGCATACCATGGGTTCCACATTTTTACTTTTCTTTCCATTTCATTATCTAAAAAATCAAATTTAATGAAATGGTATTAATTACAAGACTTATACACCAAACTTGTTTTCAGATATACCTCTATAACAATTTCCACTACTGGCAAGTATACAGTGGACCCCCGGTTTACGATATTATTTCATTCCATAAGTATGTTCAGGTGCCAGTACTGAATGAATTTGTTCCCATAAGGAATATTGTGAATTAGATTAGTCCATTTCAGACTCCCAAACATACACGTACAAACGCACTTACATAAATACACTTACATAATTGGTCGCATTGGGAGCTGATCGTAAAGCAGGGGTCCACTGTACTTTATGTCTCCACTTGCATCAATATCCAGTACAAGAGCATTACCTCTGAACATGAAATTATATCCAGTAATAACTTTGGACTAGAAATTATTCCTTCCATTTAACTCTTTCACTGTCGGTCTTGTAATACTATTACGGCTCTGAAGCCAGTATCAGTCCTGTACAGTGGACCCCCGGTTAACGATTTTAATCCGTGCAAGAGGGCTCATCGTTATGCGAAATAATCGTTATGCGAATGAATTTTCCCCATAAGAAATAATGGAAATAAAATTAATCCGTGCAAGACGCCCAAAAGTATGAAAAAAAAATTTTTTTACCACATGAAATGTTAATTTTAATACACACAAACTGAAAAAGGCATGCACAATTAAATGACACTTACTTTTATTGAAGATCTGGTGATGATTGATGGGATGGGAGGAGGGGAGAGAGTGTGTTAGTGTTTAGAAGGGGAATCCCCTTCCATTAGGACTTGAGGTAGTAATCCTTTTCTGGGGTTACTTCCCTTCTTCTTTTAATGCCACTAGGGCCAGCTTCAGAGTCACTGGACTCTTTCGCACAAGATATCTGTCCATAGTGGCCTGTACCTCTCGTTCCTTTATGACTTGCCTAAAGTGTTTCACAACATTGTCAGTGTAATAATCACCAGCACGGCTTGCAATAGCTGTGTGAGGGTGATTTTCATCCATGAAGGTTTGCACTTCAAGCCACTTTGCACAGATTTCCTTAATCTTTGAAGTAGGCAACTTCTTCAATTTCTCTCTCCCCTCCTCCGAAGCAATTTCCTCAGGTTGGCCTCTTGCTGTTGAAGTTGATCTAGCAGCTCATCAGTGGTTAGTTCTTCATTTGTCCTCCTCCACCAACTCTTCCATCCTCCCCACTAACCTCCAACCCCAAGGACTTTCCCAATGCCACAATGGATTCCTCAACTGGCACAGGATTCTCAGGGTTAGCCTCAAACCCTTCAAAATCCCTTTTGTCTACACATTCTGGCCACAGTTTCTTCCAAGCAGAGTTCAAGGTCCTCTTTGTCACTTCCTCCCAAGCCTTACCTATAAGGTTTACACAATTGAGGATATTAAAGTGATCTCTCCAAAACTCTCTTAGAGTCAGTTGAGTTTCTGAGGTCATTACAAAGCACCTTTCAAACAGAGCTTTTGTGTACAGTTTCTTGAAGTTGGAAATAACCTGCTGGTCCATGGCTGCAGGAGAGGAGTGGTATTAGGAGGCAAAAACTTCACCTTAATGAAGCTCATGTCCCCATAAAGTCGCTCTGCCACGTCTGTAGGATGACCAGGGGCATTGTCTAACACCAGGAGGCACTTAAGTTCTAATTTCTTTTCAGTTAGGTAATTTTTCACATTGGGGGCAAATGCATGGTGTAACCAGTTATAGAAAAATTCCCTAGTAACCCATGCCTTACTGTTTGCCCTCCACAGCACACACAAATTATCCTTGAGGACATTCTTTTGCCTGAACGCTCTGGGAGTTTCAGAGTGATACACTAATAAAGGCTTCACTTTGCAATCACCAGTAGCATTGGCACACATCAACAAAGTAAGCCTGTCTTTCATAGGCTTATGTCCTGGGAGTGCCTTTTCCTCCTGAGTAATGTAGGTCCTGCTTGGCATTTTCTTCCAGAACAGGCCTGTTTCATCACAATTAAACACTTGTTCAGGTTTCAGTCCTTCAGTTTTCTATGTACTCCTTGAATTCCTGCACATAATTTTTCAGCCGCTTTGTGGTCCGAACTGGCAGCCTCACCATGCCTTATCACACTATGGATGCCACTACGCTTCTTAAATCTCTCAAACCAAACCCTTTGCTGGCCTTAAATTCACTCACATCATCACTAGTTTTCAGGCATTTTTTTAATTAAAAACGTCATGCAACTTCCTAGCCTTTTCACATATGATCGCTTGAGAGACGCTATCTCCTGCTATCTGTTTTTCATTTATCCACACCAATAAGAGTTTCTCTCAACATCTTCCATCAATTGCGATCTTTGTTTCGAAAACACAGTTGAACCTTTGGCAAGAACAGCTTCCTTGATTGTCTTTCTGGTGCCCACAATAGTAGCGATGGTTGATTTTGGGGGTTTTTTGTACAGCTTGACTAGGTCGGCTATACGCACTCCACTTTCATACTTATCAATTATCTCTTTCTTCATCTCTATAGTAATTCTTACCCTTTGAGGTGTAGGGTTTTGGCACTAGAAGCTTTCTTGGGGCCCATGGTCACTTATTTTCCAGAAACAGCACCGAAAATACTGTAATAATACGAAATATTCCGAGTGTATGCTTGGATGTTACCGCGGAGGCTGGCTGGTAAACAATGGGACGGAGCGGCACATGTGAGGCTGGCTGAGGGCACATTGGACGCGTCTCGGACGAAAATCGGTATGCGTGTTTTTAATCGGTATGCGGGGCAAAAATTTTGCGATAAAAGTAATCGTTATGCGGAAAAATCGCTATGCGATGCCATCGTTATGCGGGGGTCCACTGTAATTCTACACCAAAATTCTAGCAGCTTCCAATCTTGTGGGAGAAAGCTGGTAGGCCTACATATGAGAGAATGGGTCTGTGTGGTCAGTGTGCAGAGCATAAAAAAAATCCTGCAGCATGCAGCGCATGAGAAAAAAAAGACAGACTGTTTTTGGATTAAAACAGAATGGGAGATATATTACAGAAACAGAGATGATTCTGAATGGTTTACAGACTAAAAGTAGCTTAAAAGCGAGTTCAAAGGAGCAGAAATGTTCAACTTTTGACGATGCTCAAGAGTAAACAAATCACGTCACGCATCCGATACACATCAACTGGTGGGTCTACTATGCCTTCACTACTGAGCTGATATTATTTATACCATTTTTACAATGATGCAGTAGTCTGCATAACTGTAAATCTTCTATTTTTTCGTGAATAAAAATTCAAAATGGAAAGCAAGCCTAATATAAGAGGAGACTGGAGATGTGAGTAATGAACAGAGAAAATGTTATTTTAGTACTAGGAATGTTTGCATTAATTCTGGATCCTATTTTGAAATTGGCCTTTCTTGAATTCTGTATGAAATTGGCCCAATTACCAATTTCTGATCACTTTATTGGGCAGTTCAAACAGGTAAATGGGCGGTTTCTTGTAGTCAATTGATAGAACAAAAGGAGTTCTAGCGAAATAGCTATGTATATAATCGACTGGAACAATGGAATTGGCCCAAAATAGGGCTCAAAGTGGGCAAAAATTGCCGATGTGTAAATATCGCTGTGACCGCTAACTTAGTGGGAGCATAATTCCGTAAGTTTTCCATCAACTTAGGTACTTTTGGTTTCATTGCCTTCATAAAAAAAATTCTATATCATTTCATAAGAAAAAAAATATACATGTATATATTTTAAATTCTTTGACATTGAGAACAAGTTTGCCAGCACGGGTCTCGACAGTGAGAGGGTTAAGCATCAGTTTCAGTAGCTACCATAGGCCCTACTTTACTTTATAGGGACTTGGCCACTATCCCCACAGCTTAATCTTTATTTAGAATAAAAAGGCACAATACCATGACTGGAGCACAAAAACCTGCACATAGGAGAAAGTTTATGACAATGTTTTGGTCTGACTTGGACCACTTATTAGTTAATCGTCCAACTCAGACTGAAAATATTGTCATAAGATCCTTTTTCCTACATGCGAGTTATGTGTGTACGTATAACCTTTCTTATGTACAGACGAGTAATCACTGCAGGATTTTCAACATACCAAATACATAAGTACTATTTATATTGCAAATGCATGAATAATTTTAATATTTCCCTTCCAATGCATAAGAACAATCTTGGAAACAATTTTTATGATTAACACAGTAATGAGTATTCAGGAGGAAAATGGATTGTCAGACTGCATTTATTTAGCAAGCTTGATAGAACTCTTCCTGAAAGATCAATTTGGAAAATGCAATATTTAAGAAATTTAATTTTTGAAAGGGAAATGCAAACAGCAATACAAGAGAGGTAAAGTATCCTATTGCATCAGTTTCAGGCCCATTATTGTTTGCAATTTACATTCACGATCTGACCAAGGTAATGCATCAAATACTGTATGATAACTTGGCGAATCATCCTTAGGTAGTTAGACAAAAAATCAAATATTTCTGCCACTTTTAGCCCAATTTCAAGCTACTTTTGGTCCTGAAACCAACTAAATTCATCTCTACTTCACTAGTAT